ATGAAAGTTATTACATAATAGCAGCAGCAATAGCAAGCATGTAGTGATAATAGCAAGTATATGTAATAATCATGTTTTGCTACACTCGAGGTGGCAGGCAGGAGTGGTAAAAAAGCCCCTTGTTGAGTTATATGTCGATACAGAATTTGGGATGCAGGGAAGGAGTGGGTGAAGGATGCCAGAGGAGAGAGCATCCAGCACAGGGACTGCAGTTTGCATGACTGTCTGCCACAGACTCCGGCTGGGGCAACAAACCATGGGCTAACCACAGGTTACCTCGCTGTACCAACAGAGCCAAATGCATTCCCCACCTCTTGTTTCCCTGTAGCTTTTTCCTTGTGTGTCCTTTCTTTCTGGATTGTAAGCCAACAGGAACATGCTGTCTTGCTTAACTGGTTCTATGCTAGCAGCTCTGGGAGCCTTTTTGGCTGAAGAGCAACACAAAAAAATAAACAAACACGTCCTGCCATTCTGGGTGATCTTCACGGGCCTCACGTGATAAGTCCCCTGGTAGGATGTGAGAGTGTGCCAGCCCTCAAACAAATGGAAAACCCAAGAAAACATGTCCACCAGTTCAGAGCTGGTGTCCCAGCTGGCAGCGGACAGGAGAGGAGGCCAACCAGAGGTCAGGGAATGTAGGGAGTTGGTGAGCCAAGGAGCTACAGCACCCACTCGGAGGGGCCTCGCCCTTTCCTTCACATGGTTTCCTGTGTCCTCAGTTCCAGCTTTTGCCAGCAGTCTTTGGCTTCCTTGGGGACCCTTCAGTCAGGGATTCGCCTTTTTGCCTTCTCTGCAAGCGACAGAGGGATTCCTTCCTTTGCCCACCATCCCTCCACTTTGGGGGCTGGGTGTGTGGGCCTCAAGCTGGCTGGCCCAGGTTCTCTCTCCCCACAATTCTCTTGTCTCTCCTTGGCAAGGCTTGGACCCCTGGTCGGGAAAAGCCTCTTCTTCTTCACATGCTAAGTGGTTAGTTTTCCTAGGAGTTTGCTGGGCCCCTCACCAGAGGCCTTTGGATTTTCCTGATGCCACAGGAGCTTCTTTGCAAACCTCTCTCTGCCTGGGAAATCCATGGCCTCCGTTGCATGGCTGGATGTTTTAGGAAGCACATTTTAGCAGAGTTATGGTGGAACTAGAAAGCACTCCAGCTGCTGCCAATTTTGCCTAGCATAGCTCTCGTTTGTCGTAACAACTTAACGTAATGCTTCGTTAGGTGTTGTTTTCCTAGATAGCTTCAAGCAGCGTTCAGCCGCAGTTTACTTTGCATGCTGTAACCTTTGCACAAGAGAGTCACCCCACCTCACGATTTTATAAGTGCATTTTCTTGGTAATCAGGAAACGTCTCTCGTGCAATTTGTGCATGTTCCTTTGCTTTCCTTTCCCTTGTAAACCTTTTGCATGCGTCATCTCTTGATGTGCACCTTGCCCTCTCCACTCTGCCTTCAGCCAGGAGGCTCCCTGCTGCCAGAGCAACCTGGGCAGGCTGGCTGGAGCTGGGGCTGAGCGCCAGCCAGGGCAGGCCCGGCCCAGCACAGGTCCTCCCTCATCCGTGCCTTCACTGTGGGTGGGATGGCCAACTGGGCGTGCACCGCTGGGACCCAGCGTGGGAACTGGGAGGAGCAGGCCTCTCCCAGCACGCCCTCCTGGGCACCTGGCACTCGCTGGCATTGCTGCGAGGCCGGGTGGGCTGGGGGGCCACGGGAACGCCGCCTCCCCTCCGGTCCAAGGACAACCGGGTTCAGATTCTGCCGGTGCCTCGGCCAGTTTGGCCCCGAGGACCCCAGTGACACTGCTGGCAGCGTCCAGCTTGCATGCGGAGGCTGCTGGACCTCGGCTGGGCCCGGACTGCATGGCTGCAAGGGCCACCGTGAGGCGATCGCAGCGCCTCGCCGGCCAAGCACACGCGAGAAGGCGCATGCCAGAGTCGGCTCTCTCGATGGTGCAGGAGCAGGCCGAAGGGCTGCCCAGAGTCCTGGGAGACCACGAAGGGAGATGGCGGCGGAGGGAGACGGTCCACTGCCACGAGCCTGAAATCTGCCAGGCACACTGAGGCCAGAAGCCACCAAGTGTGGCCTCCACGTGGGGCTGCTTGCCATGGCTCGCGAACCCAGTGCCTGCACTTCACGGGTGCCACTCCTACTCTTCAGCCGATTCCAGGAAGAAAGCGGAAGCTGTGGGCCAGTGCGCTTGGCGGGCTTCCCCAGAGGCAACCTCCCTCCCGATGTCGCTCACCTGCAGCTCTCCATTCCCGCACCCATTCAACCGCAGGTTGAAAAAAAAGCCTCACAAATACTCACAAAAATGGCAGTGAGGCAACCCACTTTTAAACTGTTTGGTAACTAAGGTGGCCTCTCCAAGGTGCCCAGGGAGCACTGAAGAGCGTCCATCTGTGGCTGTCCAAAAGGGAATTGGAGGGGCTGATTTGACAGCAGGTGAGTTTGAGAAGAAAAAATCAAGTCACAGAGAGGCTGAAACAGCTCGCCATTCTGGAAGTGGCGTGGGCAGCTGCCCCCACTTGCCAGGCACATGGGCGAGAGCAGCGAGGCCCCTTGCGAACCAGCTCCCCATGTCCAGAGTGGGGCCAGACGACACAAGAACCCTTGGTGGGGGAGATGGCGGGGCTCATGGCCCTCTGCTGGAGCAATGGGCTGTGTGCCACATGGACCGAGGCGGCCTGGGAAGCGGCAGCACACCAGGGGACAGGAGAGCTGCTCCTGCAGGTGCCTGGCCCTGCCCATCCCCGAGATCCCTGCACTCCTTTCCAGCCGCATTCAGAGGCTCTTTGAAGACAGACAGGTCTGTCAGAGGTGATTCCTCCTCCTGCTTCTGAACTAGCCACGAAAGGCATGCATGCGTGTCACCTTTTCCGGCATCAAAGCACTCCGTTTAAACTGCGACTGTGCGCCTGGGAGTTGGGCACCTCGGCAAAAGGGAGCTGCTCCCAACCACAGCGGATGGGGGACGAGCCTCGTAACTTCAAAGGCAGGCTAAGGACAAATCCTTAGCCTTTTCAAGGGGACCGTCTTCAAGAGGAACCAACGGCTTCTTTCAGTGGGTTTAAGGTCTTGCTGCATCAGATAAATCTGTATTGAGTTGATTGTTCAGCTGGCTGGTTAGTGGTGCAATTAAAGATAACTTGACGAAGACAGAAAGAAGTCAAGGAACATTGGTTGTGGTGAGTTCAAAGAACTCACAGGTGCCATCCTGCAGTTCAAGTCACTCTTGTTCAAAGGCACAAGTGATGGCCAGTGGGATACAGCTAAAGAAAGGGGCCAGCAGCAGCCCCCTCCACGCCCCTCTCTGGAGCCTGGAAGCAGCTTGTCTGGCTTTCTTTAGAGGGGCAGGGGGCTCCCCATCACCCTGCCCCTATCTCGGCTACCATCCCTTCCTTCCTTCTTCCTTCCTGCCAAGCCAGCCATTTCCCTCGGGTGAGAAGATGGACATGAAGGGGGGGGGGGGCTGAGCAGAGCCCCCATGTCAACATTCCCTCTCCCCCTTCCTGCAAACATGCCTCCTCCCATTCTTGCAATTTGTGCAGTCTCTTGCAAGCCCGAGCTGTGACCCCCAGAACATCCCCCTGCACCAGACGCTGCTCCTGCCAGGTGCACTGGCCCCACACATTCCCGTCAAGTGCCCCTTTTGATCGGAGTTCCGCTGAAAGCCCCTCCTTGCTCCCAGTTTCCACCTCTCTGGACGCTTCTCATCGTCCTTCCTCATTGCAATTCTTCTGATGCTGCCTGAGGAATTTCATGTTTAACCTATTTTGAAACTAAGCCTATCAGGTTCCCTCCACCTTTCCTGGCAGGACCTAATTTCTAGGCCCTGAATCACCCTTGTGGCCCACCCTGAACTTGTCCCCATTTGTCTGAACCCTCCCTAACGTGCCACGCCAGAGGTGGGTGCCGAGCCCGAGGGGGGTGACTTCCCACCCTTTTGGCCTCTTCATGTGGGTTGGTTTCCCAGCCGCGGGACTGGGCATTCTGCTCTGGGCTTGTGGACTGAGCACCACCCTGGCTCTGAGCCCTCAGCAAGGACAGCAACACCTCAGGTGGCCGCTGGTGCCTCCTTCCACTCGCACCCTCCTGCAGATGCTCTGCAGTGTGAAGACATCCAGGATGGCACAATGGCCCGAAGCTGAAGAACCGCAAGCAGCCCGGGGTGCCAAGGGCACCTTCTGCCCAAGGAGTGCAGCCCCGGCCCTGCCTGGATCAGGCCTTCCTCAGAACACGTCTCTCCTTCATACCATCTTCTTGGGTGTGCTGGGGCCAGGCGGGCTGGTGTCTCCTCGCGCTCCCTGCAGGCCCATCCGTCCCTCCGCTTGCCCTTGCAGGGCTGGGTGCAGCTGCCAGCCTGACAGGCTCCACATGCTTGCCATTCCTGGACTCCTTCCTGCTTTACCATTTCTCAGACAAGGAAATAGGTTCCCCTCCTCTCCACCAGGCCTCCAGGAACCGTCGCACTTGCTGGGGGCACCTCTGTCCCCTCGGCCTGTCTGCCATACTCGCTCACCCTCGAGGCCCCAGCTGCCGTGGCTGCACACCCAGGCCCCCTCCTCGCTTTGCAGAAGACGGCCGATCGGCTCCCCTGCCTCCTGCTGAGGGCAGCTGCACTCGCGAGGCAGCGGGGGGAGGCAGCTCTGCCCACAAGCCGCATGCAGCAGGGCAGAACCAGAGAGGGCTGGGGAACCCCAGCCTGCAGGCTGTGGGGAAGCAGGGGGCTCTGGAGACAGCATGACTCGTGTTGTCCCCGTGTCAGGCAGGCCGGCCGCTGTGACGGGGGCCGAGGCTCAGGATCTCATTGGCTGAGGGCGGCAGAGCCTCCCCGTTCATCTGCCCAGGGAGGACCGAGGCTGCTCTTCCAGAGGAGCCCTCCCAAAATCCAGCGGACTGGCTGCTGCCCCGCTTGGCCCTCCCCCGTGTGGCTCAGGCAGAGCCCAGAGCTGAGATGGCGGCTGTGCAATGCTGAGGAGGAGCAGTTTGGCCAGATCGGCAGAAAGGAAGCTGGCAAGTGCCGAAACAGCTTTAATGTCACACTGGAAGACCAGCGGCTACAGCAGGAGCCCGTTGGCTGGGAAAGCGGTCTTCAGCACGTCCCGCCCGCCCAGGCCTGTGGCCGGGGGGCTCCCTTCGCAGCGACGGCCCGTTCCCGGCCGGGAGCCAAGGGCCTTCCTTCTTCCTCCGGGCGGGCAGGCTGGCGGCAAAGGGTCAGGGTGGCTTCCTCCGCTGCAGCCATGGCAGGCCCTGCAGAAGGGCCGTGGACTCCGACTCCTCGGACAGGCGCTGGGCAGAAGGCGCTGAAGCGTGTGCGCGCACGCACACACACACGCAGGTGCGGCAGTGCCACTGGCCAGCAGGGCCCTTTCGCGAGGCGGGGCGGCTCCAGGCGCCTGGGGGACTCACGTCCTGAACTGGCCGCCTCCTGGCCGCCAGCTCCCGAGGGCTCCTCCAGCTCAGCCCCGCGGGCACGAGCAGCGTTGTCCAGCCCCTCCGCGCGGTCACACCGCCACTCCGGCCGCCTGCTCCAGGCCCAAGGCCTGCACCAGCTCATCGCTCAGGCCGCTCTTCAGGGTCCGCCGCACTGGCAAAGACGAACGGCGAGGGCCATGGCACGGGGAGCGAGGGGGCAGCCCCGACTGGCCGCGGGCCGAGGCCTCCCACCTACCCCAGGGGGTGGCTGGCACAGCTGCCACGGTCCCCAGAGGGAACACAGCTCAGTCCTGCCGGGCCTGCCCAGAAGAGGATTCGGGCCCATCGGAAGACAGCTGCACGCAAGCAAGTTCCTAGCCCCTGTTGCGGCAAAAGTACACGAGGAGGCACCGTGCAGTTCCATGCAAGGGGGAGCAGAGAGGCAGGACTTACGGGATTTTCGGCTCACTCGGGAGCGCTTGCGCAGCCTCCCTGCACCTGGCCGTGGCGGCGTGCTCTGCGTGACAGACCTGGCCAGGCGGTCCATGATCTCCTCAGAGGCATCTTCAGGAGAGCCCGCCGTGTCCTCTGGCGGGGTGGGGGGCGCGCTGGGCGGGCTCAGCCTGCTGGCTCCTGGGAAGAAGCTGCTCTGAGGACTGCGGTGGCCACGGGATGGGGCACGATTCGGCCCTGGGGCCCAGCCGGGCAGGCTGCGCAGCAGGCCTTCTCCCCACGGCCAGGGGCTGCCCTCCTGCCTGGGCTGCCCTCCTCTGGAGGAAGCACTGCCAGCCACTCTGACGGCCTGGGGGGCAGCACTGACAGCTCAGCGGGGCTGAGGCAGGGCACCCACGCAGAACACCCTGGCCACGCCGCCTTGCTCCCATCCAGGCGGGCGGTTCAGTAACAGCTGGGATGGGGCAGGGGGCAGCAGCCAAAGCCGGCGGGCAGCCACCGGGGTCACGGGAGGGCTGGGTGCCCTCTCAAGTATCCGGCGCTGGGCAGAGTGGCCACCATCATCCGAGAGACTGACGGCCCACGACAGCCCCACCCACCGGCCCCAGGGCCGGAGCACGGCCAGCAGGCACCCAGAGGCTCGGGGGGAAGCAAGGGCCCAGCTCCCCCGGGAAGAGCGGCCTCCCTACCTTTGCCACCCCGGGAACGGCGGGCAGAGGGCTCGGTGGCAGGGGAGGCAAGCACGCTGGCCATGCTGCTGTGGTCCGTGCCGTCCGCCCGCTCTGGGCTGGCAGTGAGCACGGCTGGAGCACAGCTGGAAGCATCCTCCGGAGGGCAAACAGTGGCAAACTTCTCCAGCTGCATGGAAAGATGAGGCGGTGGCTTGGACAGGGGTGGGGGGCTCCACGGACCCAGCTGCCGGTCTCCTGCCCAGGGCCAGAAGGCGCAACAAAGGAATCGGTCCTGGGGACATGACCGACTGTGGCAAGTCAGGTGGGGGGGAGTGGGGAGGGCTCACCTCTGTGATCAGCCGGCCGCGGGTCTTGTTCCGTTCCCGACAGGCTGCCCGCTTCTTCTGCTGCTGCAGGACGCGCTCCCGGCAGGTGCGGTACTCCAGCGCAAACTCCCGCAGGGTTTGGCAGAAGACCGTGACCTTGACGTCTTGCGCTGAGTGCTGGTCATAGCCGAGGTACAGGAGGAAGGCGCGGAACCTGCTGGGAAAGGGCCGGGCGGCGGGCCGGGGTCAGCAGCGAGCCTGCCCACCCCAGCGCAGCCCGCTCAGGGCCGCCCCAACAGCAGATGCCGAGCGCAACGAGGAAACAGTTCCTGAAGCCACACAGCTCTGTGAAAGCGGAGTGGAAATGAAGGCTGGGGCGTCTGAGTGGGGTGTGCGACTTGGGTGTCCTGCACCAGCAGGGGGTTGGGCGGAGAGCCTCCCTGGCCCCTTCTGGCTCTGCTGTTCGAGGATTCTAGGAAAAGTTTCCACCTGGCGCCAAAAGGCAAAGGACTCGGCTGCAGCCGGTTCCGGAGCTTGGCTGCCACACTGGGTGGCCGGGAGGGCTCCAGCGGTGGGAGAGCGTACGGAGCTGCGCAAAGGCCATCCTCTGCCTGCTCGCAAGCTGAGCGGGCGCAACCCTCGGAAAGACGGGCCTGCTGGCTGTCCGCGGCAGGGGGCAGGGGGTCCCTGGAGCCATTGTGGAGTTCCTAGCACAAAGGCGGATCCCCAGGTGCACACCTGGTATGGCCCACGCCCCACCACAGGACACACACCTGTTCAGGACCCGCCTGTGCACCACCTTCAGAATGACGATCTTCTGGGTGCAGCCCTGCAGGAAGTCCACCAGCTTGCCCTTCAGCCCAGGCTTGGTGTCGTGCTTCATGATGGCCTTCAGGCTTTCCCAGGAGGCCTTGCAGCGCTGGTCGAGCTGAAGCAGCCCTTCGGCCAGCGCATCGAAATCGACCTGGAGGAGCAGCGTGTGGCACTTGCAGGAATGCAGCGGGGGGCGCGTGCCCCGTCCCCTCCAGCCCAGCTCCCACTTCCTGCACCTGCGGGGGCAGCCCTCAGGCTGGACCGCGTGCGGAGGCGCTGCCGGCACTGCTCAGGGCCCCAGCAGCTGGGGCAGCTCCCCTGCAGGGAGGAGGCAGCGGGTGGGTGGCGCGAGGCCCGGTGAGGACCAGAGAGAGCTGGGCAGAGGATGAGCTGCTGGGCCTGGGCGGCTCCTTCCTTTCCCAGCATGGCATCCACTGGCGCCAGCAGCTGCGGGTCCGAAGCTGCTGCGGGACACTGGGGGGCTGGTTAGGCACAGGCCAGGCAGGAGGCCTCAGGGCCAGGGAAGGGCCCCCCAGCTGCCCCTGGCCAGAGCAAGCGCTTCGGGGATTCGGACGGCAGTGAAAAGCCCACCAGCGGTTCTGAAGAGCCACGGGGCCTGCTGAGCCCTGCCACAGTCCGCACTGAGCATGCAAAGGGCCGCAGACAAGAGTGGCGCTCCCGTGGGTGCAGCTGCCCTTTAGTGAACAGATGCAGTTGTGGGACTGTGTGCGGCTCTGGGGCCAGCCTCCGCCCCGGCCCAGCCTCGCTGGCCAGCTGCACAAGGGCATCCAGGTCTCTGGTGGGGCCGGCAGCTGTGCAGGAGCAGCTGGAGAGCTCCGAGTCCCCTGGTAGGGCGTCCCTCAGGCCCCAGAGAGACAATTCTAAACATTGCTTTGAAAGCCCAAGCACATCTTCCGGAGAAAAGTGCAATCGAGGAGAACGCTCTCTCCGTCAAAGCTGCCACGAGGCGTGGCCCTGGTGCCCCTGAGCGCGCCACCCGAGAAAAGGCCTCTCACCTTAGCAGAGCGCATGAGGGCGGCGATCTCCGAGTAGAGGTCCGTCGTGTCGGGGAACTTATCCACCACATGGTGGCACAGATGGTGCAGCAGCGTCTGTCGGCGCACTGTGTCCTTCACCTCCGAGACCTTCGCCAGGTAACTCAGCTCGAACCCTCGGCTCTGCAAGTCAAGCGCGTGCTCAGCTGCCCACCGCGCTCTGAGGGAGCGGCTGGGCCTCGGCCTCTGCATGGGGAAGAGCTGCCGTTCGCAGCTGCCCCCACAGTCCCGACCACCCCTCACCCCCTGCCCCCCGCGAGGGGCCACAACGCTCGCCGGCAACCCACCGCCCTGAGAGTCCGAACAGACCCACGGGGCCAGAGAGCGCCCGTGGAGAATGCAGGCCAGTCTCCACACGCAAGAACCCTGGTGCCGTCCCGGGACCTCCGCTCAGAAGAGGAATGGGGGCCGCCGGAGCCCCCGCCCGCTCTCTCGGCAGCAGCCGCCAGCCCGCGGGGCCTCGGCAGGGGAGGCCCGGAGCAGGTGACTGAGCGACATTCCTCTGCTGCTCGGAGAAGCCCTTCTGGGCTCAGCCAGCCGTGCCGAGCCAGTCGGGGCACTTCCTGAGCTCACGGCGGCACGGGCCGAGCTCGGCTGCTGCCTCTCGTAGACCCCACACGTGGGCCTGGTCCAGGGTGGCAGGCAGCTGGTGTCTGACCATGGCCCCGTCCTTCCCCCTTCAGGCCAGGCTGGCTGGCTGGCTGGCTGGCTGAGTGACCACTGGGAAGCCACCCCCACCTGCCCAGCCCTGCGCGTGGCTTGCAGCTCCCAGGCAGCAAAGGAGGGAGGCCCTGCAGGTGCGCCCCACGTTCCTCCTTGGAAGCCGGGTGCAGGGCCAAGCCCTGCCTGAGACGCGGCTCTGGGTCTGAGTGAGTCCGCCCCTCTGCTGCCCCCGCAGCTTCGTTCACCTGGGAGCCGTTCAGGAAGTTGCCCATGGCCAGGAGAGTGGCGAGGACACACTTGAAGGTCCGGTTCTGGGCCAGCTGCTCCATCCCAACTTTCAGGTCAAAGAGAGGCTCTGCAATTTCCTGAAGAGGAAAGGAGAAAAGAGCCCCCGAGGGATGCAGGGGCCGTACGCCTGCCGTTGCAGGAAGCGCTTCGTGCCCCACAGCCAGGGGCCTCTGGGTCCAGAGTGGCCTGTGTCGGCACGGCATTCCTGTGGGCTGCTAGGAAGGGAGGCAACCCCTGGAAAATCCCAGGTGAGGACCATCCGCCCACCCTCCCTGCAGCCCTTGCCTCGCTCGGAGCCGGCAGGAGAGGCCCAGCACTGAACGCCCTGAAAGGCCCGGCGAGCGTCGCAGCTGCAAGCGGGGCTCCCGCCCAGCCCGCCGCCAGCCCCGCGGGGGCTCTCACACCAAGCGTACGGTGCTGCTGCCCACCTGCTCCATGGTGTCGTAGTCCAGCTTGAATGCCCACAGCTGGAGTCGGGCGCTGAGCTCGGGGACTGAGGAGAGCGCCAGGAGGAACTGCTCAGCGGAGCCCAGGGGGATGCCGGGGTGGGCCAGCTGCGCCTCCTGGATCCGCTGCTTCTCCTCCTCCGTGGGAACCATGGCCAGGATCTTCTGCAGCGAAGGGAGACCCGCGCCCCGAGGTGAGCCGCAGCACATGCTTCCCCGCAGCCCTGCGTGGCTGCAGCCAGTGGAGAGCACCGAAAGGGCCATGGTCCCACACGTGGCCCCAGCGGAAGGGCCCCGAGGGTACGGGCCGCACGCACAGGCCAGCCCAGCCTCGCCTCCCTCACCTCGATCCCTTCCTTGCCAATGGCGAACTCGTCGAAGTTGCTGATGGCCGCCTTGATGACAGGGATCGGGGGCAGCACCGTCAGCCCGATGTTGATGGCGTTGCTCCTCTTGGGGTCCAGGACCACCACAAGCTTCTTTGCATCCGCAGCTTTCTTGGGAACGGGGGAGACGCCCGAGGTCAGAGGCAGGCACCTGCCACGGCCGCCTGCACTTGCCCATGGCAGCCCCCCCTCACCCCGGGCCGCAGGACGGTTCGCGCTGAGAGGACCTGGAAAGCAGGAGCCAGGTCTCGCCTCCCAGCCGCACAGCCACTGCAGGCCAGCGGCTCCGGGGCACCGGGAGCAACGCTGCTCCGTGCCTCGGAAGGCCCCGCTCTCTTCGCCCGTGCACAGCACCCCCCCCCACAGCTGTGCTGCCCCCGCCTCAGTGTGGCCCAAGCCAAGCAGGCGAGGGAGAACGGCACCCTGGGATGGAGGCAAGCGCCAGGGGAGCTGCCGTGAGCCGCCGCCGCCACCGCCTCCAAGCGAGTGAGCGGCGAGTCTCCTCCTGCCTGCGGGGCTCAGATGCCCCAGCCCAGACACCCACCTTGGAGCTCAGCACCTCCTTTGCACGGGACTCGAACAGATGCTCCAGCTTGGCCGTGTCCACCTCGACCCTCTCCAGGGAGGCCCACAGTGTGGCTGGCCCAAAGCAGCTGGCCCCACCGCCGGCCGGGCCGCCAACGCCCACGAGCTCCTTCCAGAAGAGCCGGACAGTCTTCTTCTTCTTCCCCTGGGCCTGCTCCGGAGACGGGTGGAGCGTGCTGGGAGGTGGGCAGCCCAGGGGGAGCATCGGAGGGACAGCACCGGGAGGGGGCGGGGGCGGGGGCGGGGGCCCCGGCAGGGGAGGGGGGGCAGGGGGGCAGCCAGGGAGGAGGGGAGCGGCTGCAGGCCCCGCTGGCCCCGCATCAAGAAGGTCGTCGTCATCCTCCTCACCCAGGTCAGAGAAGTCCAGGTCTCGGATCCTGAGGAGTTTAGGGGGGGGGGCCAGCAGGTCCGCCCCCAGCCCAGCATCCTTCTGGAATGGCGACGCGAGGGCTCTCTCCAGGCCGGCCTTGGCCTCAGTGCTGAGCTGGGACTGCAGTGAGTGGCCCCGCAAGTCGGGCAGGTCCTCCAACCTCTGGCCTGGACAGCTGCCCTGCTTGGCCCAGCCCGCCTTGCTCTGGGCCTCTGCGGGGGGGGAAGGCCCCCTCCCCACCTCCGTCTCACCGTGATGGTTCGGCATCTCCCCAGAAGCAGTGCCGCCGCAGGGCTCTGTGCCCCCTTGGGGCAGAACACTCCCCGCGATGCTGCTGCAGGGACCCACGGGGCGGCTGCTGGAGGCCTCCTGGGCTGCCGGCACCCCCATGACCTGGCCGCTGCAGACCCCAGTCAAGGCTGGCCCGGAGCTGGGCTCCTTCTGGTCATTGCTCCATCTCTCTGCGGGAGGCAGGGGAAAGAGCGACATGAAGCCGCTGATCCGCAGGGGGCTGGGAAATGAGAACGTGGGCGAGGGCACAGACCCACCCAGGTGCCGCTGCCAGGTAGCCCCGCAGCCCTGCACAAGCTGCCATCCCCAGTGCTGGCTGCCTTACCTGGGGCACCTGGCTCTGCTCCTGAAGCCACTTCCGCCAGGATCCCTGCCCGCCCCTTGGAGATGGCCACCATCTTTTCCTTCTGGGATGCAGCAAGGTTTTCCAGGAAACGGGCTCTGCAGAGGAGGAAAGCCCTGGCACTCAACAGCCAGAAGGCCACCACCCAGCCCAGCCTGGCCCAGCATCCAGCACACCAGCACCGACTCAGCTCCCCAGAACCCAAAGCTCCCTGCGCCTGCTCAGAGAAGCAGCCGAATGTCCTTCATGGAGCTCAAGGACTCCAAACGGTACCGGGGCAGCACATCAGTCCCCCTCCACCCCAGAACATGCAGGCCTTTCCTCCCATTCTCCCGCAGTCTGCACCAATGAAGGACTCCCCCAGAACAGCATTCCTGGGAAGAGAACGCCACACCAGGAATAACTCTGGAATGCAAGGGTCAAAGGGCTAAAGCAAGCCGGACCAGCTGCCCTCAGGAGGCCCCAGCTCTGCAGCTGCCGCCCTCCATGCCCAAGCGACAGGCCCCCTGTGCAGCTCCCCACCTCTTGCACACTTCAGCGGCATGGCACCGTCTGCCGGGGCCCTGGCAAAGGGACGGGGCCTGGACTGAGCGCCCCCGCGGGGACGCAAGGGGCTCGGGGAGCCCCCCCCGTGGGGCTGGGGGCTCTGGAAGCACCTCCCAGCACAGCTGTAGCCAACAGGACGGCGCAGGTGCCGGCCACGCCACACACGGCAGGCTCCTGCCAGGCTCCAGAGTCCCCTGCCGGAGCTGGCGCACTCAACGGAGGCTGGCTGCCCGGCTTAGAGTTGGGGCGGAGAGGCTGTGGGGCGCCGCAAAGCACCGAGAAGCTCCCACCGAGACCCACCATCCAAACCAGGGGAGAAGCACAGCCTCCCCAGACGGCTGCATCGCCGGCCCTTGCTCTGCACCTGCCCTTTCCTGGGCAGAGGCCCCTCCTGCCTCGCCCACCTGGGAGCCTGCCCTGCCCTGCCCGGGGCTCCCCAGCCGCGGCTCTCTTGACACGCGTGCCTAGCCTAGCCTGGGGGCTCCAGGCCTCCCAGAAGCCCCCCCCCCCAGTCTGGCTCTGCACCCCAAGGGCGGGGGGGAAGCAGCACACTGGGGCCTGGAGCCGGGCCTCCCTTCCCAGTCCTTCACGGCTCCCTTGTCCCCTTCCTGGAGCAGCCGGGTCCCGGGAGCCGCCCTCTCTGTGGTCAGATCCCGTTCTAGCCCTGGGTCTCCCCAAGACCCAGGGGCCAGGGCCTTCGCCTGCATCGGCCACAGCCTCACAGGGGCGGTCGCTGCAGGCGGGCCGCCCGCACGAAGACTGCCGAGCACCAGCAGCCAGCCTGGACACCAAGGCCACATGGCCCACCACGGAGGCCGGTCCAGCTCCGTTTCCTGCGCTCTCTACCGAAGAGCCCCCGGATTTTTCCCCTCACTTGGCCACCTCCACCCCATCACGTGTCTGCGGTTTTATTTTGCAATGAAAGAATGAGCGAGATTGCACATAAAGGCTGAGCCAGCAGCAAGAAACAGGAACGCTCTGCACAGAAAACTGAGCAAAGGCACCAGTCCGGGAAGAGAGCCGGGACCCAAAAGCACACAACGCTGCCCTGACGTCTCCAGTTGCCCCAGGGCCTTCCGCACATGCCGCCCCTAACAGTGGCCACGCGGGGTTGCTGGCCGCTGCCCCTGCCCCCCAACAGCACAGCAGAGATCCTGGCACCTCCCTTGCACAAGAGGCCAGGGCAGGGGGCCAGGTGTCTGCGGGGGGGGGGCAGGCTCCCGCGGAGCCCCCAGGCCAGGCCTTGTGCCAAGAAGGGCACATGCTCTGTACTTACTCAAAGCGCCTGAGAATGGGCTTGTCCCCACCCGCTGGGGGGCTTTGCTCTCGCCTGGGAGAAAAAGTCTGTTAGCGCCACTGGGCAGGAGCGGCCCCTCCGCATGCCCACATGCCATGCCAAGCGACACCAGGCCGAAGCGGGGGCACATGCAGTGGGAGGCAGTTCTCCTGGGGGAGGCCACTTCCTGCAGAGGGCCCCCCCAGTGGCACCGGGCTGCAGCCCCTGGCATGCTGGCAGCCCCGGATGCACCCTGCGCTGCAGGGGCCTTAGGCTGCGGGGGCAGCAAGGGGCGGGGGGCGTTGCCCCGGCCCTGGGGGCTCACTGGCCCGGGAACCTGCCCGGAGCCCAGCATGGGACTGCGGGAAGCCCAGCATGGCCCCAGCGGAGCCCAGCATGGGACTGCGGGGAAGTTCAGCATGGGACTGCGGGGAGCCCAGCATGGCCCCAGCGGAGCCCAGCATGGGACTGCGGGGAAGTTCAGCATGGGACTGCGGGGAGCCCAGCATGGCCCCAGCGGAGCCCAGCATGGCCCCAGCAGAGGTCACTTCGGTGGCTGGCTGGCTGCATGGCTGCAGGGCTCTCTGAAGGAACTAGGGGGCCGTCTGCCAGGTGAGTGGAGTCCCTGCTGTCGGAAGCAGACTGGGAACGTGTGGAGCTGAGGTGCCTGCCCAGAGCAGAGAAATGGGCAGCTCGCTTGCTGCCTGAAGGCGGGGCTGGCTGGGCATCCTGCAGCTGCTGATCCAATGGTGCCCCCTGGTGAACCCAGCGGGAGCTGCAAGCTTTCCTCCCAGGGAGCCCACAGCAGGCATCCTCATCCCCAGGGTGAGGGGAGGGAGAGGCCAGCGGGAGGCCCTGCGTGGAGTCCACCCACAAAAGTCCAGGTCAGCCTTCCAGCCACGTGCTTCACGGCACCACGGTTCCCCAGCAAGGAGTTCATCCAGTCCCAGAAAGCGCCACACAAGCTGAGCCCAGAGAGGGCAGCACAAGGCAAACCCACGCGCCAAGTCGCTCCTGCCCCAAGCCCAACAGACAAGCCCCTCCGCAGGGCCGGCTGTCCCCTCCCGCAACGAAAGAGCACCTCCCTGGCCACGGGAACCATACGCAGGCACGAGTGGCAGCATCACTTACCACACAGAGCCCCTTTCGTGGAGCCTGGAAAAGGAAAGGCAGTTTGAGGAGGAGGCCAAAGCGCTGAGCAGGGTGAGCAAGTGAGCGAAGAGAGGCTGCTGCAAGAGGCGCCCCGCCAGGCTCCAGGGCTGCAGGCACTCAGCGCGACTTGCTGCTTGGCCGGCCCCACCAGTCCTGGCCGTCTGGACCGGCGGCCAAGTCACCTCGGGCAGGCGGACCAGGGCCAGACAGAGAAAAAGCAGGGCAGGAAGAGCGGAGCGGAGCGGAGAGTGGAAGAGCACTGACAAGCCCTGCTGGGGTGGCCATGCTGGGAAGGCCCCTGCAACTGCCCCTTCCCTGCTTGTGAGGCTGGCCCCAGCCACGTCTCCATCCTCCCTGGACCGTCACCTCCCTGCACCGGCCGTGGCAGCCTTCCCGAGGCACGGGCCAGGGAAGGACAGGCCTCCAGCACAACGTACGTGAAAGAAACGCCCACCCCTCGATGCTCCACCCACGACAAGACTTTTCAGTTGCCCCCCACCCCTGATGTGGGCAGAACAATGGAAGCCCTCCTTGCGTCGCTTGCTGAGCACCGCAGACCGAAACCCGGAGGGATGGGCCGCTTCAGTGGGGCCACATCACGGACCTGCCACAGGCCCCGGGGGCTTCTGCCGGGCTTGCCCCCTCTGCCACTGTGGCATTCCCCCCCGCAGCTGGAGCGCCGGGAGCCCACCCGGCGGAGAGAAGGTGGGAGGACCTGAGCCAAGGCAGGCCAGCTGGACCACTTCAGGACAGTGCGGTTGACAGCTCCCCAAAACCCTCCCCAGGCAGGGCCCTGCGCCGTAGGAATGGCGATGCTCCAACGGGCAGCAGGACCATGGCTCTCCGCAGCCCCCTTCCCCCGGGAGGGAGGTGCCACGGCCGCCAGAAGCCCTGGGCATGGCAGGACAAGAAGGCGAGGCCCAACTGGCCCCTCGACGGCCCCACGCTGCCCCTGTGACTTACTTGTAGATGCTCCTCTCGCCCAGGCCGGCCAGCTGCTCCCCGCCCTCGCCCGGGGGCACTGAGAGCTGCACCTCGGAAGCGCTGCTGAACGTGCTCCGCGAGCCGGGCCTGGGGGGTGGGCAGGAGGCAGAGTCAGTGCTGTGGGCAGCGAGAGGTCCCACGCAAGAGCCAGGGGGCCTGGAAGGGCCCCGGCCTCGAACCCGCTCGTACTGGCCCTCCCCAGCTGACTCACCGGTCGTCGAGGCTCTCCGCGGCAGGGCCCAGCACTGGAGTGAGAACGGGAGCGGGACTGGGCTGCTGGGCCTCGGCCTCTGCGGCTCTCCAGGCATCCTCCTGGGCCACCACACAACACACCGACCGCTGTGGCCCCCGTGGGCCCTCCGCGCCCCTTCTGCGCTCCTTGCTCCGCGGGCCGGATGGGGGCTCCTCGACGCAGTCCTCGAACTTGAGGGCCGTCTGTGGAGCAGAGGGAGGCCGGGGCAGGATGAGGCAGCCCACGAGCCGGCATGACCGCACCCCCGGCCCCGGCCCCGGCCCGCGGCTCACCTCGTAGACGGCCAGCTGCTGCCTCAGATCTGGGTCGAGGCCCTTCTGGGCCAGCAGCTGCTCGACAATGCACTCCATGCCCTGCTGCTCCAGGCAGTCGGTCACGTCGTAGAAGGAGTCCTGGTCCGGGAGGGCGGCCAGCGTCTGCACGACAGAGCCCGCCAGAGTCAGCGCTGGAGCCCCCCACCCGGAAGCCCCGCAGCCACCCCGGCAGTTACCTTGTTGATGAGTGTCATGGCAAACACCTGCAGCTCCCTGTCAGCCCCGTTCTTCTGCTCCAGGAGAGCCATGAGGCGCGACCACGGAAGCCTCCCTGTAAGGCAGGCAGGCAGCGCAACTGGCCAGAGGCCATGGCAAAGGGGCAGCCCTTCATGTGCACCCGCCCATCCCTTCAGCTGGGCTCCCCGGGCACTCCCCAGGCAGCCCTGGCCTGAGGCGAGGGGAAGATGGCCGCCTCGGCACACCCACGCTAAGAAGGGCCGGCCGGCCAGGCATGCGGTGCTGGCGGCGCCGAGCCCCCCGAGGCAGCCTCCACACAAATACTGCCGGGGAAGAGGACCCTGCCGTAAGGACTGCGCCAGTGCTCTGGCCACTGAGGCATGTGGCCGCTGGGAACGGAGCACCCAGTCCTCTTCCTGGCCGCCCCACCCTCTGCGGGGGGCAGCGCCAACCGGTGAGGTGCCCAGACGCCGCAGCCAGCCTGCTGGAGGGGACACGCAGCCCTCCCCACGCGCGGGGACCACCTGCTCACCTCTGGCCTGCTCCTCTGTGAGGACGGCCTGGATGAGCAGCTGGGCGTTGGACTCCGCGTACTCCACAAAGACCAGCAGCAGCTTCAAGGCCATCTTCACCACCAAGCGGTACTAGCACAAGAGCCGGGGGAGGGGGCACCTTAGGCAGAGCCGCGGCTGCCCCCACATAAGCCAGCAGGGCCCTGGGGCTGGGGACAGGGCCTGCTCTGGACCAGCAGCCCTGCCTGGGGCCTTTGGCAGGCAAAGCCAGGGGACCCCAGGCTGACGTGCTTCCTCCCCACACTCGGGACTCTCCTGACCCCCTTCCCCCAGCTCGTCTCTGGGGACCCTCCCTCCCTGAGCCATGGGGTGGGGGCACACTGCTTCCAGCCCCCAGGGAAAAAGGACCACCCAACCCTGGGGGGGATCACAGAACTCACGAGGGGCGTGTGCAGGGGGTGAATTGGGCGGACGTTCCGCAGCAGGGAAGAGGAACTGGCACCCCAGGGAAGCTCCGTGCCTGCCTCAGAGGGGGAATGACGAACCCCACACCCACCGGTGGGCCAGCTGAAGTCCGCAGAGAGCATGGCCCCTACTCACCAGGCTGCCGCAAAGTGAGTAGAGCCACTGCACGGTCTCACTGTGCTGGATCACACCTGTCATGCCGTCCACGAAGAGCATGATCTGGCCAAGGGCTGAAATGGAAGGCCCTCAGCGGGAGGGGGGCCAGGCCCATGCAAGCCCCACTGCCTCCACTGGTTGCCCTGAAGGCTGCGCCTGGGAAACGGCTAGTGCGGGCAAGCACACCGCTTGCGGAAGAGCTCTGGGTGAGGCATCTCTGCAGGGTGAACATCGGTCCCAGCCTGGGCAGGCCGCTGGAGGGGTCTCCAAGTAGCACCGACTCTGGCCCCGTCGCAGGTGGGGGACAGGGGGCAGGAACTGGGGAAAGGAGTGGCCCGGAGGAGACACCAAGCAAACACTGCAGAGTTAGCTTGGCCAGGCTGACTGGGTCTGACCCCAGGGTGATCATGGGCTGGGGTGGCAGGGGGGCCCCAGGACCAGGGGTCACAGCCATCGCTTGGCTCACCATCTGCGCAATGAGATGCACCCCTGCACATGCCCCCAAACTCCGCTGGCAGCAAAGGGGGCGCGAAGGGCCTGGATGCTGCCCCCTGCCCCCCCACTCAGCCACTCACCACGGAGAATGTAGTTCTGGTAGTTCTGGTCGGCCTCAGCCCCCACAGTGATGAGGCACGTCAGGCCCTCCAAGCTCACAAATTCCGGCACCAGGTCCTTATCCTCCTGTACCAGCAACAGAGGTGAGCCCCCTGTCTGAGCACCACTGCCCCCCATGGCAGGGTTGCCCACCGCAGTCTGAGCAGCTCCCTCGGCTACCCGGGGTGCAGCTCCCTTTCCCATGTGGAACCTGCAGCTGCCAGGAGAGGGCCCCACCTGGCACGCAGAAGAGGGCAGCTGCAGGGCAGCGGCAGCCCAGGGCGAGGGAAGGGGGTGGGCTGTGAGTCATGAGTGAGTGGAGCCCCCCCACCAAGCTGCCCCTGCAGTGGGGCTTACCTGAAAGAGCTGCTTCAAGGAGAAGAGGGAGCGCCGCAGCTCGGGGCCCTTGGAGCTGTACAGCTTCTCTGTGGGAGGAAGCACATGCCAGTGGAGCCGCCTTTAGGATGCGGGGAACAGCCCCTGCCCCTCCCCCCAGAGAGGCACATGAAGCCCTGGCCAGCTGGCCCTCCCGAGCCTGTCACCGGCCAGGGATCAGGACACTTCCAGGAACAGGGCTCTGCTGGGGAAGGCCCCTCCGAGCTGTCCTGGCTGCCCCCAACTTCAAGCCCCCAAGTGTGACGCTTGGCCACCCAGAAGAATGCAGACAGCAGTGACGGCCAGCCTGGGCAGCTCCCTCCTCCCGAGACACGCACAACAGGCGTGGGACCAGCTGGCCAGGCAGGACAGGTGGCTTTTCTGTTTCCTGCCTCCGGCAGCTTCCCATGCAGAAGATGAGAAGGGGGCAAACGTGAGCGAGCGGAGGGCTTGCCTCCCTTCCCTTAGCCCAGAGTCAGGTGCCGAGGGGCTGCCCTCCAAGCACAAGAAGAGGATGGGCTCCCTGCCTTGCCCCTGGCGCTGGCACAGGCAAAGAACAGGCAGAGCCGGGGGCAGAAAAGTCCGGGGCTCACTGGACACAGATGGCCCCAATTCCACTGCCCCCCTAGGCACCAAGATATCCAGGCTCCAAGCAGCTCCGCCTGCCCAGCTGGGTACAAAAGGAAGGGAGATTAAAAATACCCACCGTCTGCTGCGGCCCCTGGCACCAAGCCAGGAAGACCCAAAATAACGCCACAGGAAGGCAGCCCCACCAGGCACTGCAGGAGCAATGGCTGCTCTGCGAGGCTCACTGGGGGAGAACTTCCTCCCGGCCAGTCATTCCTCCACCCTCCCCTTCCCAAAAGCAGCTGTCAGAGAGTGAGATCCACTCTGCCCCACAGAGCCCCTTGCACCTCAGCCGCCCCGTCCTCCTCGGGGCAGCCCTCCAGAGGGGCAGGCGCTAAGCCTCAGCCAGGAGCCACAGTCTGGGGGATGCAGAAAGGTTTGCTGGGCCAGAAATCCCCCAGCAGCTGGAGGGCAGCACGGGGCTTCCCTGCCCCCAGGTGCCGGGACCCTGGGTGCCTAGCAGCCCGGAGCCCCGCATAGCAGCCCATCCCAGGACTGCACTGAGGACCCAGAGCAGCCCAGCCTGGGGATGCCGATTCGCAAAGTGTAGGCAGAAAAACGGCAGCAGGGAGGGCCGCTCCTCACCCCCCCGGCGGCAAAGTCCCCAGGCAGGCACACAGCTGGGGGCATCCTCGGGAGGAGCACCACGCAACTGAGTGCTGCCACTCCCTGAGCTGCGCAGTGCCCTTGGCATGCTGAGCACCAGCCGGCTCCATCACGGGCACAAGGTGGGAGCTGCCCAGCTCCCGTGGCCTGGCTTGCAGCCCACCTCTCTCTCCTCTGCAGTGCAAGGGGCCCCGGCTTCTTTGGCCGGCATGGTGGCCAGACGGGCAGGGAGTGCCTCCGATGGCCCTTCCAGCCTGTGGCTGGCCACAAAGGTCTCGGCCCCCAGAAGGCAACAAGCAGAACTTGCGAAAAACACGCCCGGAGACGGGCATCCGAGGCACGGGGAGCCCCAAGGTGAAGGAGCCCTCTCTGGAGCCCAGTGGGAAGGGACGCGGAAGCCCTTCGAAGCATGTCGGCCTCACAGTGGAAGGACCGAAAACATCTGCAGGAAACAAGGATCGGGAGGGCCACTGCGGCGACCTCCGTCCGAGCTGGACACCGGCCGGCTGCCCTCAGCAGCCCACGTTCCTGGGAGTTCCTTCCTTCCGGCAGCGAGTGGGCCGAGAAGCATGTGCCCCTCCCCGCAGAGGCCTTCAAGGAGGCCTCGCTGCTCCCCGCTCCTGCCGCTCCACCCCACAGGGGACATGAGCAACCCACGCCACGTGGGTGGAGCGGATCCCGCTGCGCTCCTCACAGCAGCACCAGTACCCACAGGGCCTCGGGGGCTGCCCAGCCCACCTCCAGCTGACCCGTGTGCAGAGCGACATGTGCCCCAGATGGGAGGGCCACCTTCCTGCGGAGCAGCAGGAAATGCCTTCAGCGGTTATCAACACAGGCAGCTGGAGACATGGCAGCTGTCCCCGCCACGCACATGCTGAATCAGGAGGAAGGAGCAGCCACTCTGTGCAGGGGGGTGGCCAGCGGGGTGGGGGGAAGGGGCTCAGCACTCTCTTGATGGAGGGGACCCAAGTTCGACACGTGGGTCAGGCGGGGGCGCGAGGTCTTTCCCACTACTGAGCCGGTAGTCCAGAGGGTGGGGGGCATGGCCTGCTCTCCGGACCAAAGCGGCCACGCTGGGGAGGGCTGGTGCAGCACCCAGGCAGGCCAGGGGGACGTGACTGCCCTTGGTGCCCCTGACAGCCAAAGAGCCACAGGAAGCACCACGTCTTCCCTCCCGGGAAAATGTTTTGCTTGGCTTTTATTAGCCGCATGACTAATGGAGCAGGATTAAAGAGCAATAAATAAACAAACAGGCAGGGAGCAGGCATTCCCCGAGGTCATGCTCAGACCTTTCTCTCTGCTTCAGGAGGCAATTTCCACGCAGGGGCCACATCCAACCTGGGAATCTTGCTGGGCGCACATTCCCGCTCTGGGCTGGGGCAAAATGAGGCCTCCTTTATCTTGAGCAGCCTTAGAAGCACGCAGGGCAACCACTGCAGGCCAAGCCTCGGACGCAAGCAGAGCCAACCCCTCCGCAGCCGCCCCTGCCCCCCACACCACCAGTAGTAAATAGTTTCCTCACTGCTTGGCAGCTATTTGGAGAGGGGGGCTTTTCCCAGCAAAGTGCTGGGAACAGGAGACCTTCCCCGAGCTCAGCTGACCAAGGCCAGGCGCTTCTCCGGGTGGGGGAGAAGGGCAGGGCCTGAGGATGAGCTGGTGGAGGGCACCTGCCGGCCATGCCTGCCCCATGCCCGCTCTGCCCCACTGCTGGGCCTGGGTCTTCTGTGCCAACCAGCTCTAATGCTTCCAGGCATGGGCAGGGGAAGAGTTGGCCAGAGCACAGTACAGACTCACCAAGGATCACCTGCACGCGGACGGAGAGCTGCGTGCGCAGAAGCAGGATGGGCCGCCTCCCTTTGCTGCAATGACAGGAGAGCACACAGCCCGGTCAGCACAGAAGCCTCGGCCCGGTGCGGCCCTCCCAGGCCACGGCTGGGGCTCTGCTCCGAGAGCTGGGCTTGGAATGGGTTACCCGGGTGGGCTGCATGCCCAGGAGCGCAGGCTGCAGTGATTCACCTGATGTCTTCATAGAACCCCTCCAGTTCATCTTTCTGCTCCAGCAGTGAAAGCTCAAGGTCCAGGTAATGCCCTGAAGGCAGGACCTGCACAGCACAGTCTTCCAGCTGCAAAACAAGAGCACATGCAGGAATCCACAGGCTGGCAAGGAGGCACCAGGGAGAGGAGAACACACGGCTCAGCCGAGCACCCAGCCCAGAGCACGCAGGCAGCAGACTCGGCAGGCCAGCACTCCTCCCTCGGCTCCCCAGACCCACCACGGCTCCTGATGCAATCAGGCAGCCTCCTGCCCTGGGAGACCCCCAGGAAGCCGTCCCCCAAGGCAAGGAGCTGCGCAACATGGCACCAGGAGGGGCACGGTGCCCTCCACCATGCAGCATCAGCCCTGCCCGATCTCTGCAGCCCAGCCCAGCCTAGAACAGGGATGAGTGCCCAAGGCGCCCTGGAGGCCATGCATGGAGGCCTCTGGAGAAGTTCCCGGAGCACCCACCCTCTTCCCTGGTCAAGCCCCCTGCGCTAGCACCAGCCAAGCTCTGGGACCCTGGGGGCGCTGCCCAGGCTGGAGGAGGCGTCATGTCGCAAGGAGAACCCCCCCCGGGGGGGGCCCTAAGTACTTTCCAGGCTTCTTGCAGGCCTTCCCAGTCCTATCCGCCTGCCTTTCCTGACGCAGGTTTGCAATATGCCAGCAGCTGCAGCCTCACAGGTGTGGAGAAAGCAGGGACACTTAAATTTAAAATATACAGGTGGGCTGGCAGCATGAGTCCCCGTCACCAGGGTACAGGAGGACCGCACAGGAGAACCGTACTCCTGCTGGGTGAGAGACAGGCCTTTTCTTGCTTGGAGCTCAGCATGGAATTACAGCAGGCTACTGAGAAGAAAATCAGCAGCAAGGATTATGCGGGCCTGGGAGGGGGAGGCTGAAAGGGTGAAAGAATTAAAGCAGCCTGGCTGGGATGCTCCAGAGTCCTAGCCCTCTCCCTGCATTTTTATAACTCTGCACACTGCATGCAAAGATACATCCATGGAGAACTCCTGCTTAACTCTCAGTGGCTGCAACAGCTGTGAGCACAAGCCTGCACCCTCCAGATGGCTGAGGGGCTGCAGGGGCTGCACCCCTCCACATCTGGAGAGCACTGGAATGGGGGAAGATGGAACCAGACCACAACAACAGCTGCTGCTCGGGCGGGAAGGCCAACCCACCAACACAGGCCTGAACCCAAGTGCACTGCACCCGAAGGGCTTTTGTCCACCCCTCCCCTTAGTCGCTGACAAAAATATCCCATGACTAGGCCAACTGGAGGCATTCAGCTGCTGTGCCAAGAATAAATAAAGATGAAAACAACCCTGTGTGCCTTGAAAACAGCCCTATCTGGCTTGCACACTCATCCAATTCAGCTGGGGATCCAGCTCAGTCAGTCCCTTCAGTGGCCCACTCCCCCTGTGGGGCCAGTCCTCCACTGGCTGGTCCACTCCAGAAACCCAGGGCACGCAGCTCCAGCGGTGCTGGGCACCAGGCTGTTCTGGCACGCAAGCGGGCCGGCAAAAGGAATCGGCCAGCAGCCACCAGACCTGCTTCCTTTCGGGACAGGAGAGTCAGGCTCATCTGCTGGAAAAAAGCACGAAGAGCCATGCATCCACAGAGCAGAACTTTCTCGGGCCGGTGCTTCCGGCATCCAGGCCTTGTGCTGCACAGGGTCTGTCTTTAAGATGTCATGGCCTTGCTTGGTCTCTTCCTAACTGCCCCACGAGCCTGGCTGCTTAACGGGGGGGGGGGGGGGCTCATGCAAGCAGCGGGTTTGGGCACCCGTTCGGTCCTCCTCCACGGAGAAGAGGAAAAGTGAGCGGGGATGGGAACACACCACGGGCTATGACAGGACCATCCGGAGCCCGGGCAGCCGCCGGCCAGCAGCTTTGCCCGCAAGAGCCTGAGCAGCAGACCGGCCGCCCAGCGCAGCACGCCAGGCCCTTGGGGGCTTTTCTCTGAACGGGGCTGCCCCGCAAAGCCGGGAGGAGGACTGGGCGCCCCTGGCTTGGCTCTCCAGCCGGCCCGGCTGCCCGCGAAGGCTGAGCGGCTTGGGCGCTGCAGCTCAAAACAGGAAGAGGCGCCGGGCGAGGGCAGGCATGCGGCCCGGCCTGCAGACGGTTCCGGCCCACCACGTCCGGGCGGGCCGGGACCGACCTCGGCGGCGCCTGCTGCGTCCGCGCGTGCAGGCGGCTCGGGCGGAGGCAGCCGGACAAGCCACCCCGCCGGGAAGGAGCGCAGGGCCAGCCGCCGTCCCCGCCGCCAAGCGGGCCGGGGCCGCAGCGGAAGAGCACCGGGGGCCCGGCTCGGGAAGGGCCGCCAGACTCCGCGCGGGGCGGGCAGCTCCGATGAAAGGGCCACGCTGCCGGCGCCAACTCGGGTCTGGCTTCGCAGAGGCGACGCTCGCCTCGCCTCGCCTCGCCTCCCCTCCCCGGCACTCTGCACGCGCTCACCGGCATCGGCGCGCCCAACAGGCGGTGGAAGGCGGGCACTTGGGCGGCGAGCGGCAGCGCCTCCAGGACAGGCTGCACGGGCGGGCGGCGCGGTTCCGGGAAGGCGGCGCACGAAAATGGGTCCCCGTCTGCCAGGTACTGCAGCCGGCACATGAGCGCCGAGCCCGGCGCCGTCGTATCGGGCGGCGGCAGAAGAGGCGGCTCGTCCATGTCCGCGGCGCGGCCGGGCGGGCGAAGGGCGAAGGGCGAGCTCCCGGCCCCGCGCCGCCGGCTGCAGCACGCGGGAGGAGCGGCAGGGCGGGGATTCCCGGCGCGGCCCCGCAGCGGCCCGTCAAGGCCCCAAGCGCCTCCCACGGAGCAGGCGGAGCCGGGCGCGCCGCCGATGCCACGCCCGGAAAGGCCCTGCCGCTGCGCCTGCCCCCCCCGCCCCCCGCAAGCGGTCCCGCCCGCCCGCTCCGGGCCGTTCCGGGGTGGAGTCGCGCCGCCCGCTGCGCGCGCCCCTTCCCATCCCGAAATTCGCATCCCGCTCGCGCCTTTCCCCGCTGCCGTCGCCTCGGCCCGTCGATGTAAACTCCAAGTGGGGAGGGTCTCCCCAGTGAGGGCCCCGGGTGCCAGCACCGCTCTCTCTTTGGAGCCTTCTTCAGGCATTGGGCAGGATACGAAGAGGTCTTAATGAGGACTTGAGCTGCTTTTGTTGAGTGGTGCAAAACGATTTTTATATACCTGCGCGTCTTTCTGTGTCTTGTTAAGTTTCTGATCTTATTCAACCACCCAGAGAGCGTTGGCCATACCCACAGCATAACCATCAAAAAGAAAAGATTAGGAAAAAGAAATAGCCACAGATTCCCCCCCCCCCCACACACACACACACATTCAGGAAAGCCGAGGGACACTTAGTCTCGCTTTTGTGCGGGGCGTTGGGCATTTCTTTGCAGTGGATGGAAGCTGGCTGGCAGGCAATCCTTGCTAGCTTGCTGTTCTCTTCTGCAACGAGTTGGCTAGTCTGCTTTCTAGAGATGGAACAAAAGCCGTCAGAAGCCACAACGGTTTGGGGTTTGCTAATGGCCAGCCTCTGTTGCCACAGCCAGAAACTCTCATTCAGATCCCGTGAGTCACCCGCTGGATTTTCAGGCCCCCTTTAAGACACAGAGTCACTCCAGTAACAAGATCACAACCAGTCAGGGCCAGGGCTTGTGTGACTCAGGAAGTTTCCATGGTCTTGAGTGTCCTATGGGAAGCCAAAACCAACCATAATTATACTGTCCTTTGCCATAAGTTCCAGTTCCTCCAGGATACCATGAGCAGGAAGCGAAACTGTCCACGGCAATCTTTCTGCACGGCTGGGAAACGCCAAGGGGGCATGTGGGGGGGGGGGGGTGTTTGCCAGTGGCAGCTGCTGCTGCCTAGGACCTAAATGAGACCACAGAGCCCCTCCCCCCGCGAAGTGCCAGCCGCCCTTGGGGAGCCTGCCCTTCCGTATGCTGCAGCCCCCCTCGCGCGGGCCCACTGGCTCACTCTGCCCCAGGACAGTGGAAAGGAAAATGGGCGTCATCACCAGGGTGGCTCTTGGCCATTGTGCCCTACAATCAGGGCTTGTGGGCAGGCGGGTACGCTCGCCAGACCTCTCAAGGCACAGCCAGGATGGCGCTGGGTCACCAGCGTTTTCAGGCCACTTTGGCAAAGAAAGCTACAGCGAGCCAACTCCACTTGCTTCTCCAAGGTTCCGCCCCGGGCCGGAGGGGGGCTCGGGCTCTGCCACCAGCCAGAAGAGACCACCAGAGGACTCGCTCAGGCTCGAGGGCCTTGGGATAAAGCCAGTGCGGTGCAGTGGCCAAGAGTGCAGGCCTGGGACTCGGGTGATCCGGGTTCTAGCCCCCACTCAGCCTTCTGGGTGACTTGGGCCAGCCGCGGACTCTCAGCCCAACCTACCTCACAGGGTTGCTGTTGTGGGGATAAGCCCCAGTGAGTTCATTGTAAGAAGAAAGCAGGATACAAATGATAGATAAATCTAAATCCAATCATGAATGAATTGCCTCCCGCTGAGCCCCCGGACAGGATGCTGGAACTTGAGGCAGAGAGCCCACCCAGCACGCTCTCTGCATGATGCGTGTCTTGGGCCATATGGAAGGCACATGCAGCGTTTCAGAAGGACAGGTTCAGGGGTTGAGTAGTTAGACAAATGACACAGAGTCTTCGGAGTGGGTTACTTTGGGGTTCGGCTCAGCTGGCAGCGCCAGAGCAACAGCCACTGCCCGTGCTTCATCTCTGAGCAAGTGCACAAAAGCGACCCTGACAGGGCTTGTGCCCGGGGAGCGTGGAGGTGCTGACCAAAGGGATTCTGCCGCACTTGTGTGGCGCAGCTGCTGTGCTTTGGTCGTGTGCCTGTGCCATGCAGGAGAGGGGGGGGAGCGCTCCTTGCGGGCCTGCGAGGTCTCTTTCTTTGCGATGCTCCCAGGGAAGCCCCCCACTCACCCACGGCACCTGTTCAGGTGTGGCGGCTCGTTCTTTGCTTCAGCATGAGAAGTGGAGCTCGTGGGGGAGCACTGAGCGGTGGGAGAGGGGGCTGCTGGGGGCCTGGCCATGCATCCAGCTCCACCATCACTTTTGCCAAGGGATGCCCCCACCGGCACACCAGGGGGCCCCCGGGGCCAGGAGAGCCAGGGCAGCCCAAGCAAGACCCAAGGAAGGCCAGCGAGGGAGCCAGAGGCTTCCAGGGCGACGGGGAGAGGGGCTCGTCTTTCACTCTGGGGAGGGGAGGGTTTTAGCTTTTCTGCTGAGCAGCCACAGCCTCCTAATTTTGGGCTTCCCAAGCCACCCCTCCCCTTTTGAAGGCTGTGGATGTTGGCAATCCCTGCTTTCCACTCCAGGACCCAAACATATCTCTGCTCGCGCTGCGGTTGTGCTCGGGGAGGCTTGCGCCTCTAGAGCTGAAGCAGGAGCGACTCGTTCCAGCTGCAGGAAAAAGCCGTTTGTTCGCCCGCCTGCCCGCCGGCACTTGGGGCCCCAGTCCAGTCAGAGGCTGCCCAGCACAGAGGGGCTCACTCCGGCTCTGCATTCTTCGTGCCCACGACAGCTGCATCGTCACCAGGATTCCTGCGATTCCTCCTCTTTTGCTCAGGCCTTTGGTCCATGTTGGGCTCCCCCGCCATCTCTCCAGGGGTGAGCGCCCAGGTCAGGGGCAGGACGGGACAGGACCAATAGCGGCAGAGCGGTGGCAGCCTTGCTTTCCCCAGCAGCTGTGCTGAGGGCCTCTTCTCCTGCTGGGGCCATTGGGCAGGAGAAAGGAGGCCCACGTTTTGGGACAACATCTGGGGCCCTTGGTATGGCACAGGGCTTCACCAGGCAGCAGGAGCAGCTTCGGCGTCCTGGGGAAGATGCTCTGGCTTCTGAACCTGAATCAAACTACTAGTGCTGAGCCCCAGGGGCCCCTGTTGCTGGCTGGGAGCGCGGCAGCCTTTTCTCGGAGCACACTGGGTCGGGCCAGCTGAACGGCACTCCCTTGTGGGATCTGGCTGAAGCACACCGGCTGCTCGCCTGCCAGACCGAACCTTTGCCAGGTGAGTAAACTTGCAGGATGCCGAAAAGCCACCTGGCAGCTCCCTGTTCCATCCCATGCATTGCCAAAGCTCCTGGCACTTGTGGTGGAAAGGAAGGGCAGGAGAGTGCTGCAGACCGGGAACCCACCCGTCTGACCAAATGGCTGCAGCCCAGCGAATGGAAGGTGCCACATGCATCCTGCATGGGTCACACTGGGCTCTCTGGACTGGGTGGCTGCCTGCAGAAGCTGAGTCCAGAACATGTGTGTTCAGCTGTCAGGCGCTGCAAGACTCTCCGTTGTTCTCTCCAGAGCGGCACAGAGGGGAGTCCTGCGCTCCGGAAGGCCTCTGAACCCAGGTTGCCACTGCTGGAGTCTGGGGAGGGGCAGGCACTGGCTGGGCCTGGCCAGGAGGGAAGGGCTCCCCCAAAACCATGGAGCACCTGGAAACACCCGGGGCCGCTCCCATGGCTGGCGCAACCACCCCACCCTGAGGTTCCCTCTGCCTGGGGCTTCAGCAAGCGGGGCGGAGCACCAGGACGCCTCGCTGGTCGGTTGCCTGCAGCTGGCAGTGGCCCAGCATGAACCCGTTGCAGCTTCCTCCGTGTGCGCGGAATTCGTTTGCAAAGCCGTGGCCCTTCCTTGGAAGCTTCCATCGCCATCCCTCCATCCCCACAAATGTGCCCTGGCTTTCCAGCGTGTCCTTCTCGCCAGCACCTCCTTTTGCCTCCTCTGGCGGCTCTTCCCGCCAGGTTCCGCAGCCCCGTTGCCACGCCAGGCCAGCCTCCCGCACCTTCTCCAGGAAGTGCCCACTCTCAGCGAGGCCAGGCACCCCTCACACCAGCGAAGCCAGGCGGAAGCAGGGCAGCCACGGAGGGCACAGAGCGCAGCCAGGGCCGCGTGGGGCCAGAGCTGCCGGAGAAGCGTGGTGCTGGGGAAAAGCCCAGATTTCTAAGCATCTGACCTACCTGCAAGATGCGCAGCGCTGATCCAAGCAGTGCTGCTCCTCTGGGCTCGTGGATGGTCTTTCACTGTGGGTGGACGTGTGTTGCGTGGATTTGCCTTGACTCATGCAGATCAGCACACACGTAAATTAATTCTGGTAAGAAAGAGGCAGCGCCCGCCACGGAGCTGCTGAGGGCGAGAGAGACACCACCAGTCCACGGGGGTGCGGGGAGACGTGCTGGGGTCTGTTGCGCTTGCGGGTTCCGTCCTTGCCCAGCCTCGGTGGGACGGCCAGCAGAGCAGGCAGCCGTGGCACAGAGGGACTCCCTGCTGGTCTCCGCTGGTGAGCAGCGTCCACACCCCAGCTCCAACGGCTGCCCCAGCAGGCCCACGGTCCTCTGCGCCCCCGCAGCCGTCCAGGGCAGGCAGGTGGCTTCCTTTACGAAGGATGGTCCTCTCCGAAGGGCTGTCCGGCCAAGGCCAGCTTGCAGCTGCAGAAGCCCCGGGGGCAGGTGGCGCAGCACCAGGCTGGAGCAGCTGCCCGCAGTGAGCGACAGCTGGCAGTCTGGCGGCACGGCAGGCGCCCCTCTGTGGCAGCAGAGTTGCCTCTCCATCCCGGGGAGATGAGGATAGTGAATTTGCACGGACATCAGTGGAGCCGTGTGTGGAAATCCGCCGCGAGTCAGGGTCTGCTGTTTGCCACAGGCTACCCTGGCTTGTGA